AAGATACTTCTTAGGGATAGAAGTAGTAAGGTCCAAGCATGGTATTAATTTGTGCTAGAGGAAATATGTTCTCAATCTACTAGAGGAGATAGGGTTGTTGGGTTCCAGACCAGCTGAAACACCCATGCAACCGATTGTCAAGTTGAGTAGTGATGCAAGTGAGGAGTTTGAAGATCCTAGAAGGTGTAGATGGTTGGTAGGTAAGTTGAATTACCTAACCATCACTCGGCCTGATATTCCATTTGCAATTAGTGTAATGAGACAATTTATGCAGAATCCCCGAATTCCACATTGGGAAGCGATTCTAAGAATTGTACGATACTTCAAAGGAGCTCCAAGTCATGGTTTGTTATATAAGAGTGGAGGAAGTCTTGAGATAGAAGGATACATGGATGATGACTGGGCCGGTTCCATATCTGACAGAAGGTCCACTATAGGGTATTGCACTTTTTCTTGGTAGCAATCTAGTGACATGGAAGAGTAAGAAGCAGACAGTGATAGCAAGAAGCAGTGCAAAGGCTGAATATAAAGCCATGGCACACACAACATGTGAACTAGTGTGGTTGAAGCATCTCCTAGAGGAAATGGGGTACTCGAGTGACACTCCTATGAAGCTACATTGTGATAATCAAGTTGCAGTTCATATATCCTCTAATCCAATGTTTAACGAAAAAACAAAGCATATAGAAATTGATTGCCACTTTGTACGAGAGAAGGTGCTTAATGGAGTGATAAGTACAACATATGTGAACACAAGAAGTTGCAAAGAAATCAACATAAAAGCTGACCCAGGACAGAATTACAAATGTGCCCAAAACATATTTGTTCTTTGAACCCCTTGCTTTGCTAAGCTATCAACCAAACTGTTGGCCGATCTCCTAACCCAACCCACTTGAATAGACATATTCCTTGACATCCATTTGAACCTTCCGAAATCATTCTTCAGCTGCCAGGTCACTCCTTTCCCTTTTTGCAACCATTTTATCACAGCTTTTGAGTCTCCCTCGATGATCAGTCTAYTAACCCCCAGCTCTTTGGCCTTCTCAACCCCATATACTACAGCTAGAAACTTTGCCCTAGCTACATCACCCTCCTCCACAGGACCAGAGAACAGAGCAATAATGGAACCATTTTCATTTCTAATGGTCCCCCCAATATCTGAAGGGCATGGGTTACCCACACAACTCACATCGAAATTCAGCTTCTTCCAACCCTCTGTTGGAGGGGACCAGGTTTCAGAAACCTGTCGCCTCATAGGTGATGAAGCAGCAATAATAATGTGAACACAAGAAATCAATGGGCAGATTTGCTTAACAAAGGGTTGAGTTGGGGAAGAGTGGACTACATATGTAACAAACTAGGACTATATGACATACACTCACCAGCTTGAGGGGGAGTGTTAGAATCGGTTGTAGAGAGGTAGTATAGGAAATTTACATTAAGTTATATGTTGGATGTAATTACAAGTAGGTCTTAAATTAGTTAATATGTCTCTCACTTAAGTGAGGGCACAAGAGTAATTCTGATTTGTTTTTAGAAAGGTATAAATAAAACTTGGCCAACTAGAGAGGTGCGTTCTGTAGTTCGACTAGACATATTTTCTCTTCTTCTCTCTTCTCTTCTCTCTACTGTTTCTACAAGTTTCTCTTCTCCATATTATTTCGAAATAAAAGAACAGTACATACCTGAATTCTATCAAAATCCTTATTGCCAATGAGAGTGTGGAGGATATGAAAAGAACAAGAAAGAAGGGGATAATCTATAAACTTGACTAGGAGAAAGCATATGATTTGGTGGACTGGTTTCTACTGGGAGCGATGTTCTAAAAATCATAATCGTATCGTAAATCATAGAGAAAATTGAATTGAACCAAATCATAAATCGTAAGATTATTTCTATTGTTTTAAAAACTTGTGAAAAAATAAAATATAGATATGTTAAAAGGCAATATATATAGAAAAGTTATTCTACCCTATTTTTAATCCATATCCACCATGCATGTACCTAAACCAATAGAATTACCACTTACACATAGAAGTCTAAGATGATATAATCAAGTTTGACTTGAAAGTCAAATAATCCACATACAATGACTCTTTATCCTATATATGATGGAAAATAAACTCAATATATGTTTTAAATAACATAAATAAGTCAATTTCTAATAAGGTCTTTAAAACAAGTCATCTTTGACAAAATATTAACAAAATAAAATAACAAAGTAGAGAACTAATTCTTAATTGAATTGATTTGGATCGCAAGAATTGTATAAATTGTAAGATTTATGATTCAAACAATAAATGTAAGATTTTTGTAGAAAAGATTCAGACATAAGATTCAAATTTAAACCCTTGGGATTCATGATTCAAATTGTGAATCATATCGTATGTCATAAGATTTTAACAACACTAACTGGAAGTGATGAACAACCATGGATTTGGAGATAAATGGTGCAAGTGGGTTAAAGGTTGTGTAACGACCTGTCACCATTCGAGTTTGGTTAATGGTACAACTGTGGACCACTTTCTAGCCATTAGAAGAATTAGACAAGGGAACCCTTACCACCTTTTTTATTCACCTTAGTAGTTGATGTGCTAGGCATTCTAATCCAAATAGCACTTTTTGAAGAGTGAGTAGGGAAAGGATGGGTGCCTATTACCCACCTACAATTTGTTGATGACATCATAGTTTTTTTTTTTGTGTGTGTGTGAAGGAGATGATATGGCTTGATTGAGAGATTTGAAAATGGTGATCCAAGTCTTTGAGAGGATGTCAAATTTGAAAATAAATTTCAATAAGAGTTGTGCAATGAGGATCAATATGGATGAAAGAGAGGTGTCAAAATGTGCATATGTTTTGGGTTGTGTAGTTTCTAGTGGCCAATGAATTATCTAGAATTATCCTGGGAAGGGAACCTGGCAAATGTGACTTTCTGGAACCTAGTGGTGGGCAAGTTTACAAAAAGATTAGCCTCTTGTGAAGGAACTATCTCTCACTAGGGGAAAACAACATTGATCAAGTCAACTCTAGCCAATTTGCCCATCTACTTTCTATAAGTTTTTAAGATGCCTATGAGGATTTGTAGAAACCTAGAGAAGTTAAAGAGGGAATTCTTGTGGGAACCCGGGGAGGAAAGAAAGGACCATAGGGTTAAATGGGAAGTGGTAAGTAGAAGCAAAAAGTGTGGTGGTTTAGGGATTGGGAACATCTAAAAGAAGAATATGGCATTGTTAGGAAAATGGTTGTGGAGATTACTAAGGGACAAGGATAAACTATGGACAAAGGTGATTTTAAGCATCCATGGGCTGGCGACTAATGGCTAGGATGCGGGAATATCGAATCATGCAACTAGTGCGGTGCCTTGGAAAGCTATTCATGTTATCCTTCCATATTTTCTACCCTTTGCTAGGTACAACTCATGCTTTGGGGACTTGGTAAGGTTTTGGGAACATGTACGGATGAGGGACTTAACGCTTAAAGATCAATTTCCATCTTTATTTTCCCTCTCCAAATACAAAAAATGAGCTTGTTTCCACTTTCCTATCCTCCTCTGGTCTAAGGCCTGAACTTGATTGGGACATGAGGTTTAGAAGGGGAATCGGAGAGTCAAATGTGGACAATGTTTTGACTTTGATTCAAATTCTTCAAAATGTTGTCTTCGATCCATCCAAGTTGGGTTCAAAGATTTGGACCCTCACCTCCTCTGGTTCCTTTACATGTGCCTCTTTTTTCAAAGCCCTTCTATAATCTTCTACTAGTCCTGGGCCTTCTTTCCCGATTAAATAAGTGTGGGGGAACCGGTTCCACAAAGGGTTGGGGGACTATGCTAGGAGATAGTCTTGGGAAGAATGTTGATCAAAAAAAAAGGTCTTGGGAAGAATTAACACTTGCAACCATCTTCAAAGGAGGAAGTCGTTTTGGTGCTTCTCTCCTAACCGGTGTACTCTTTGTAAAGCCAATGGTGAGTCTTGTTACCACTTATTAATCTCCTAACCCTTTGTTTCTTCTATATGGGTTTGGTTTCTCTTTTTATTTGGTTGCAGGTGGACTCCTACATCAAGTCTATAAAGCCTCTTCAACTCTTCTATCAGTAGCTGGACAAAGAAGAGGGGCCAAATATTGTGGAAATGTACAAGAGAAGCGGTTTGCTAGACAATTTGGGAGGAAAGGAACTAAAGAATATTTGTTGAAAAGGAGAAAAGTAGAGAGGCAGTCATAGAAGTGATCACTTCCAAGGTGGTTCATTGGGTAAAAACAATGGAGATATTTAATATGGCATTCACATAGGGGATCTACTGGATGATTGGCAGGAAGTGCCAGCCTATACTCCAAGCAAAAGTATTGTGCAAGCTTCATGGTCTCTACCTTATGATGGTTTTATCAAGCTAAACGTTGATAGAAGTAGTGAATGTAACCCTAGACCTTAAGGGATTGGTGGAGATTTTAGGTCATAGAAGGTTCAGTCATAGCTATGTTTTCTAGCCCAATTGGTCATGGGGACTCACTGAGAACAGAAATTTTGGCTTTGATGGAGGGTGTGAAAAGTGCTAAAGAACTAAATATTAATAGGTTGATCATTGAAGGACTTACATCAATGAACGAAGACTTTTCAAGAGGCTGACTCAGGGCATGGAGATGAGACTTCCATGGGTAAAAAGATGTACTAATTCCTTTGCAGATGCTCTTGCCATAAAGGGATGGAAAGAAACCATTTGCTTTGGGCTACATTGTAATCTTGTATTTCTTTGGGGGAGAGTTAAGAGAGTTTACCTCTCCCCACCTGTGTACATGATTTATATTTTTTAATGAAATTTTCCTGTCATTGATCAAAAAAAATAAATAAAACCAATGCATTTCCTAGAGGTGCAGGTTAGCAAGTAAAAATGCAAAAATGATTTGTATTATAAGCCTAGAATGCTAAGTTCCAATGTAGAAAGAAGACAGAGAACAGGAATCAGGAACCAGCAGAAAAAGAAAAATAGAATTCTAGCTAAACTTACCCTGAGCTGAGTATACAAATAGGTAAGCAGATTTCCTGCTATGGGGAAGTTACAAAACCCCATGGTGGCTTTATCAGTCAAATCCTCAAGAGAAGACACTGAGAAGGCAAGACCTACATTCTTCAGTAAGCATATATTTCCAAGAGCATCAATGCGAGTTCTCAATTCTTTTGTGTGCAGATATACCTCCAGAAGAGTAATTCCAGAATGCACCACACTTGTTAAACAGCCTACTCCAACAGAAACATGTGACAATGCATCAACATTCTTTGATGAACGCCTCAGCTCAATTGATGAATACAGCGTATCTAAGGCACATATGTATCCTTCTAATATTTTCCCAACTGCAACAGAGAATGCCTGATTAACAAGACTGTATGGAGGCTCTGCCCCAATTTCATTTCCACAATGCACTTGACTTTTGGCAGACCCGGAAACCACTTCTTTCCCTCCCACCTCCTTATTTACTCTACACTGTCCTGCCACATTCGTGTTTGTACAAACAAAATAATCTACAAATTTACGGATGAGGAAAACCATGAAACCTGAGCGCCCTATAGACTTGAGAATCCTTCCCAAAGCACTAGTGCTGGATGACCGGTGCCACATACTAGGAATTCGGTGAGAAGTTCTATCAGCTGGATCAGAACAAAATTCTGCAGATATCTTCTCAATGCAATCGAGAGACGAGTGCACACCTTGTAATGCATTTAAAGCCAGCCTCACCAAATTGGCCTCCTGTGAAGGGGGGAAATTAAACATTACTTACTGAAAAAAAGTTCACCGTGACTTACGGTGTAAACAGCTGCTGTTGGCGAAATTTCTTTTGAGTTCAGATACTAGCGCATGTATGAGGTGCATTTCTTAATTTATAGCTTCTAGGGTCTAAAAAAAAATTATGAATTAGCCTCAAGTGGTTGTAACTAAAAGCACATTTCCAATAAAAGAACTTTCAAAAGAACTACATTGCGAAAATTTCATCTAATTAGGGCTTAATGATCCAAAAAAACACCAATTTCGAGAAATAGAGAAGAAACATGAAATCGAGCAAGAACATTGAAATGCCACTTACAAATATTGTTGACGGATGGTAAAGAGTCTCGAAAGATGAAGCTGAGTTGCTTTCAGAGCGAGAAACTCCGCTTTCAGAGGGGATCGATTCCCATGGTTTGGGAGGCAACCATGGATCTTCTAACTTGAGGTTCTGTAACAACGAAGCAAAATTCGCATCGACCGCCATTGGAGAACTGGAATTGCAGAGCGAGACAGCAGGAACGGGGAGTTTTCAGAGATTTCCCGCTTCAATTGAACATAGCGGTGTGAGCCTGTGAGGAGCCATTTTTTCTTCTAGGCCCGGTCCACGAATTTCCCAGGCTGGACCTGGACCCGCAACAAATGGTCACATAATGCGGATTGGGCCCCGGCTAAGCAAAACACTAGGCCCGTTCAGCCCAGCCCACCCCGGAAGTTATGATACATATACATTCGTATATATGTAATAAATATCATATTCATATATGATATATCTACATACATATGTATAAAACAATTATAAAATATCATATTGTATATTAATAAATTAATATATCTATAATAAATTTATATTGTTAACAATTTGTTTTTAAAAAACATACATTTGTTGATTATTTTTGGGCAAGGCCCGCCAAGCCCAAGACTGGGCCTACACTTACAGTCAAGGTAGACATTTTTAACGTGATACACCTCGTATCGGGTATATCGTATAATATCGATCACCTTTCAGAAATGGTTGATCTTATATGCTAAATAATGTTTAAACCTACCCTTTCCCTGTTTCTAAAAAAAATAAAAAAATAAAAAACTAAAAAAATGTGGTGCGTGTGGTTCAAAATACCAATACACCCCCTTTTCGTCGTGTCAGAGTGTATTAATGCTTTGAATCTTTCTTATGACTAGTAAGTGTGCGTGTGATTTTTTAATGATGATGGAAGTAAATAATATGTTTCCAAATTTTTCTACAATTTTTTGATATTTCTATGTCTATACAAATTGCCCTTATTTGTCAGAATTGTTCTTATTTAATATGTTGAATATATGATATTAAAGATGTGTCCAAATGATTGCTACAATTTTTTATTTTTTATATTTTGTGTTTATCATCTTTTTTTTATTTTTTATTATTATTTAATTATAACATCAAGAGTTGAGACATTTGACCCAAAAGGTTGAATTGTTGACTTCCCACCAAACGAGAAAATAGCTTTGATTTTGGGTAGTTACCAAAAAAACTCCATTTTTGGGTTACTTTAAATTTGTATACCAACTAGTGGGTGGCTATTGGTACACTAGGGGATGGGTTCCCCCTTGTTGTCTATCTCAATGAACCAAAGAAAAGTTCACCAATACCAATACACCTCTTAATGTAATTATTACACTTTCAGACGTTGAACTTTGGAGCAAATGAATGGGCCCTTAGGCCTTAGGCTCAAATTTTAAATTGGGGTGCCGCTTTCTTAAATTTCCTTATGCTCTTTAGGTGAGAATATCCAATAAGACTCTTATTGGATATTAGGGAATAGACTTGTTCATGGGTCAGGTTTGGGCTTGGTCTTTGCCAAATTTTGAATAAGCCCAGTCCAACATAGTGTAAAGTCAGGCCTGAAGCCCAGACTATGAACAGGTCTACTAGGGAATGGGTGGAGTGCCGATGTTGCTCATGATTCTTGGCTTCCAAGAGGAATGACCCCCTCATTTAAACAACCTCTACCTCCTAATTACAAAGTGGCGTTTCTTATTGATTATGATTATATGACTTAGAGAAAATACTTGGTTGACTCTAAAGGTGTCAATGGACCAGTTTTGGACTGGACCCCATCCAGTCCAAAATCAATTTGGACGGATTAGATGGACCAATAAGACATATTAGATTGGACCAATCGAGTCCAAAATATTTATTAGATTGGATTGGACCTGGTTTGTCCGTTATAAGTTTATATTGGATTGGGTTGAATTAAGCCAATAATAATATCTGGTCTATTGATATAAGATAAGAATATAGGTGTTAATGGGTCAGGTTTGGGTTAAAATCAATCTAAATTAAAACAAATTTGAATAGATTAAATGGTTCAGACATTGAATTGGACCGGTCCAAAATATTCATTGTATTGGATTAGACCTGGCCCATTTGTAATGGACTCACATTGAACATCAGATTGGACCAAATCCAATCCAATTGGCACCCCCAGTTTACTCTACATCCTCTTTATCTACAACCCAACATATTTATCAAATTAGATTGCCCTTAGCTGGCTGTTATACCAAGACAAGTTGGTGTGGTCCTTTACACCACATGGCCGGTTAACAACTGCTTTAGCTTACAAATTGATTTCAGACAACCAGCCCAGCAGTCCAAATGCAGATTTATTGTTTGGCTCTATTACTTGGAAAGTCTTTTGCAGATTGAAGACTATCTTGCCACTTTTGTGATTCCTAGGGGTGCTCAAGGTTCGGTTAATCAAACCGTCGGGTATTTTGTGTAAATAAACCAGTAGTAACGGTTTTAGGAAAACTGATAACCGAAATTAATCAGTTAATTAGTTGATCGGTTTGGCTCGTCGATTTTTTAGTTTTTTAACTTTTATAATATATTATAAAAAAATATATAATTATATGATAAAAATTATAAATATAATATTATATTTTTAAATAATAAATAATATATTATATATTATAAATATATATTTATATATGATGCATATTTATTAATTTAAAATATATAATATAGAAATATATATATACCAGTCTATTCAGTTAACTGCCGATTTTCTATATTGATTAACCGAAACCGAACTGATACCTTCGGTTTTTTAAAAACACTGAACCAAAACCAAATTGACCAGTTCGATTAACCGATTTTTTATTCGGTTTTGGTCAATTTTTTTTGGTTGATTTGGTTTTTCAGGTTTATTTATTTTTTTTTAATTTTTGCTCATCCCTAGTGATTCCCATAAGGAAATATTAGATCAATTGTTTCTTATTTTCCCATTTAGTAGACAAAGTGGTTTGGTTCAGAACTTTTTTGTTTTCGCTCGGATAGCTACCCAAACCGGTCTCTAGTTGAATGGGTTTCTATATGGGTTACATCCCACTTAGAGGGCTACAAGTATTTCACTTTATTATGGTATATTTGAACTACCAAAATGAGGTTCTATTTCAGCAGACTCAGCCTATCCCAGGAATCGTCATTCGAAGAGCCTACTTTCGAGCTTCCACCCCTTCCTCTACATTCTCTTCACCTAGCCCTCTATTGCATTCGTTGCCCATGCAGTAGACGAGACCTCCTATGGGTTCTATTAAGATCAATTTTGATGGTTCCACGTCCTCCCATTCCTTGGGTTTGGGTATTGTGATATGAGATGATTGTGGTGTTTAGGGGTGTCAATGGACCGGTTTTGGGTTGGATCTCGTACAAACTAAAATTAATTTGGACAGATTGGAAGGACCAACAAGACATATTGAATTGGACCAGTTCAAACTTAATGGTCCAAAGTATTTAATGGATTAGATTGGACCAGGTCCGTCCATAATGAATTTATATTGGGCTAGGTCGAATTGAACCAATATATAGTCCATTGATAGAAAATAAGAATATAGATATTGTTCGGGTGATGGTTGAGCTGGCCAAGGATGCCACATGGTAATCTATGTGGTTGTCCCTTCTCTCACGCCACATCGACACCATGCGTAACGGAAGAGCACAACTAGGAGGGAATGTCCTATACGGACAAGGAAGCGAGCTCTGCCGGGGGAGAGGAAACCTCCCGAAGAACTCGATGGACACCCTCATTTCGACACCCCCGGAATCCCTATCCATTTGGGACACGAACACCCAACAATAAATAAGTACTCTCCACTCGAGATAAGGGAATTTTGAAAGAACACTCTTTGAACACCTCTTTGCACTATCTTCTCAGCCCAGAGCAACGATTATCTTAGGCTACTCGGCCCGGCCACATCTTTCACTACCCAACTAACTTGAGCGTCGAAGTACCTACTCGAGGAACAACTCCTCGGGCCTTTGACATTTTTCTTGGTTGTAGATCTCAGTGCACGGCTTTATCCTTCCAATTCGGCTTCGTCCAGTTGGCAGGACTATTTGATTGTATCATCGATTCAGAACACCTCATATCGGACATCAGATATCAATGAACCATATTTGTTTTGGAACCAATTTAAATTAAAATAAATTTGAACAGATTAGATGGTCTAAACATTGGCGTTGGACTGGTCCAAAATGGTCCAAAACATTCACGTGATTGGATTAGACTTGGTCCATTTATAATGGACTCACATTGGACTGGATTGGATTGGACCAAATTCAGTCCTAGCGACACCTCCGGTGGTGTTTTCCTGTTTGGAAGGGCATGGCAAGTAAATCATCCCTGTTAAACTCTTGTTGGAGGATCCTTTGCAACCTCCATAGAGCATTCTTATCCTCATTGCTAGTTGCAAGAGTATTTTATTTCATCACCCAGGATTCTTTGTTAATTTTATTCAAGATCTTGTAATCGTGCGGCTCATACTATCGCACGTTTTCTTTATCATGTCCTTCTTGGATTTGGTCTTTCCCACCAAATTTGTTGAAGTCTGTTTTGGACTCTGATGTAATTGAGAATTCATCTAGATGAATGGATTAGCGGCATTAGCCTATGAGCGTTTTCAAAAACTAATGTAACAAAATATTTGTGGCACAAAAAATAAAATAAATGAAACAAATTTCAAATTATCATTAATATAGAAAAAATAAGGATATTTCAGAAAAAAGATGTTTGGACAATCTATATGACTCATAGGTGACCCATTTTCACACAACCCGTAATCATATAGGTCTTGAGTGCTATTTGATGACCCGTACTACATGGCAAGGTGCCAACCAGTTGGTTGGTAAGGTCTATTGCTGGTCGTAGCAGAGACTCGGGATCAAATCCCACCTATACATGGGTTAAGGGGTTATGAGTTAGGGGATGGATTACCCCGTTGTGTAGCCCTTTAAAAGATATAAAAAAAAAGAACTGTACTATATAAGGTACCATATAATATAAGAACCCACACATAGAACCGGTATTGTAATAAATATATATTAATAATAAATTTAATCAAATTAAAATAAAATTTAACTAAGTATTTAGTTAATAATATTATTATTACACTAAGAACAATTCATTTGTTCAAGCAAAAACAAATATCAATTAATAAATAAAAATAAAGAAAATAATTTTAAATTAATAATTAATTAATATTAATGAGAATTATTAATTTTAAAATTAAATTTTAGTCATTTAAATTCCACTTAAAATCATGCAAATTAATAACATAGATATTAAAAATAAAAGAAATTAATAAATTTTAAATTAAACTTTATTAAGTTAAAATCCATTTAAAATGAAAAAAATAATAAAAAAAATATAAATACATCTAAAAAGCTAATAATATTAATACAAAATTATTATCTAAGAACACATAACCCAAAAGTAATGCTTGGATTGGATTTCAAACAGTTTGGCCCAATAAAAATGATCATAAGGCTTTTTTGCTTCAACTTCGCTCAATAAAGCCCATACATTGCATGGGTCCCTCTATTAAATAAACTGCAATTTTGCATGGTCATTTCCACATGAAAGGTGATTAGGTGAAACCAAGGCAAATTCCGCATGAGAAAACAACGCAAAACCTTTTGCTAGGCGGGAGGGTTTGACAGTTCTCATAGGCAACAAAATCCAACCCGATTTGGCCAAAGACGAATTGAATTTCAGCCAACCCAATTCAGGTGTGTTTTTTATGGGATCCAGATTTCCTCCCCACAAAATGGTCTTCACTCCCACCTCACAGCATTTGTAGCCAGTCGTGCATTGGAAGCATCTTCCATGAATGAAAACGTAGAGCCCCATTTATTTTTTGGGAAGCTACTTATCTAGGTAAGTGCATTTATGGATTTATCCATATTCTTTTATTTCTGAGTTAAATAAGACAATGACTGTTTTATCTATAAAAAGTCATTATTAAAAAGGGTAATCTTGTCCTGTCCAAGTATTGGCAACTTTTCTCCCTCGTGAAAAAATTGCTTATCCACCTGGGAGATGAGTATCACTTACTTAAATGATACCCAGAGAAAATTGATATTCAATGAACCTGCATAAGTCTGAAAAAAGAATATGTATCTTAGTCAATGAAAACCAAAATCCCATTAACCAATTCTCCCCTCTAGAAATCCAAAAGAACGAACAGACCCAAAAGTATGAGGGATATTCCCAATGTACCACTGCAACGTGATGTGAGGGGTGTGAACACCATAGTTGAAGTGGAAATCGGAACTAGATTTTATCAGGCCAAGTCAAGTTGCTCCAATGCCCATCGTTAAACTTCTATGATTATAAATAATATGGATCAGGGGAACTACAAAGGAAGCATTCAACCTGGAAAAGAGTTCAGATCTGCTCCTCATAGGGCGTGCCTCACACCGACTTCACAGGACGTTTTAGCTGTGCATCTAAAACATTTCCCCTAAAACGAGCTGAGGTTGGTGTGAGGCATGCTCTGTGAGGAATAGATCCCAATTCCCCGGAAAAGGCCTCTAAATAAAAATATTAAAATGAATTATTTGGCCATCCAAGTCTCTTTACATAGATGTAAATGATCCTTTGTCTTGCGGCCATCCATGCGAGAGACACTTAGGCTGCCAACGTATCATAACAAACCGGATATAAGATATCATCAAATGAAGAAAATTCAGATCACCCTTTTACCCAGATTGAATTCAGAAAACAAAACACCATATGCAACCTTAACTTGAGTCATTTGATTTACAGTTGGAATCAGAATCGGAATGGTCTATTACCATGATTTATTTGGTTCAAACAGGAATTGGAATGGGAGTTGAAATCAGTTAGAATGAAATGCCATTCCCAAGAGAGGGGGAGGGAATGGACATTCCCTCAAATAGGGATTGGGAATGAGATTCCTATTCCAATTCCAGACCCCAATTCCCTGTAAACCAAATGGACCCTAAATTTGCTGTTACAGTTTCATGTGATCATCCCACCATGTTGAGCATAACTTTAATATTTGGGTTTGGATTTCGGGAGTAGATTCTTCTATTCTTTTTTAATAATTAATTAATTTTATTTGTGGGATAAGAGGATTTAGGGGGGGGTCGGTCATTTCCAGCACGACCTGCAATAACCGGCCAGGCCTAGGCCTGGGTTTTGTTTTTAGGCCCGGGCCTGGCCTGGGCCCAATACTTCAGACCCAGGCTGCATATATTAACATATAATATTTATATATATTTTTATGTTATGTTATATGATTTATATATAAAGTATATTTCATATTTTATATTATATGTATAAAATAAATTTCCAACATACATATAAGTTATAAGCCCAGAAATCCAGAATCAGGCCCGGCCCATGATCACCCTTTCATATAGGCAAGGTTAAAACTTCTAAGTATCGATACACAGGAGGCAGAGGTGTATCGATACTAAAAACCTTGTGCTTTTACATTTTTTTTGTTTTTGTTTTCAAATTTTGATTTAAAGAGGGGGTTCCAAAATACCTATAAACAGGTGTTTCAGAACCCAAAAGATATGGTACGGAGCATATCGTATCGAAATTTTGACAACAGCATGTAGGTAAAAGGCCGATGATATCACAAGGTATGAAACCATTTATACACTTCTTATAGAGTCAAGAATACAAAATAGCTTTAAGTGGTTGAAGAAAAAAGAATATAAATGTTTCTTACAAGAGATTTAACCATGGTCAGATACCCAATAACCATCCACCCCCAAAAAATAAATATAAATATTCAAGTATATAAAAACAATAAAATGATTAATACAGTAAAAACTTACCCTATTTTTCTATCAACATTCATATAGCTGAAAGTTGTTTTCTATTTAAGGAACTTGTGACAGAGAAAATTGCTGACACGAGTTGATAATGCTATCCATGGAATTACCCCAACCTGCACTCAGATTATTATAATACTTAGAAATGATTCTATTAAGAAAAAAACAAAGAAATTCATTTACATGATCAGAGTGGATGTAATTTATTTGGATTCAGATTCTTGATCTTTGCCTAAACTATTCAAGTGCCCACATAGACATCAACTGGAGGTGTTTTGATTCATTAGCCTCCTTCAAAAAGACCAGGCCAAAGTAGAAATTTAATTATTTCTATTGACTGGAAGATCTATCCAATCTTGAACTGAAGCCTCGGAGGGCATTGTAAATATGATTAACGCAGGCAATTATAATTGTTTTTTTTTTTGTCATAATCCATACAAAATGTGTCTACTCTTTTTTTTTTTTTTTGGTTTGGGGAGTGATTTGGGCACACCCCATTTTTTGATAAATTAGGCACATAAAAGATAAAGACGGCACCATTTGTTTTTTGACAGTTCGAATGAAGGAGCGTTCTTTGATGGGTTTCTTTTTATTTATTTTTTTTTTTTTTTTTTTTGGGGGGGGGGGTGTATTTTTGGTGATACACCCAAATCCCCCATAGGGACTGTTTGAATAGTGCAGCACCACACTAACAATCCCCCTCTCGAAAGTTGGTGGTTACAGGAATCTAATCTGCACAGGAACAAACCGGCTAATGTACTGAGCCACCCCTCAGTTGGCCAAAATGTGTCTACTCGAGATGGTTTCAAGTTCAATGATGCAAAATCATGTAAAGAATGGATAAAAGGAATACCGTAGTTCTGCCATTCAAGCGACCTCCAGCTCCAAAGGACAATGCCTTCCCTGCAAAAGAGGCATAAGGATTGAAGTATGAAGCACAACAAATTTACAATTCAATACAGATGAATCACACAGTTGTCGAGTGTAGGAAGAAGAGGTACGGGAGAGAATAGGGTGTTACTCTTCACACCCAGAATATTTCATTATATATTAAATCTGAAATTACAGTCATGTCCCTATAAGGACGCCCAAAATACAAATAATAGGAAAAGACAACAATACCCCTAAAGCCAAAACCAAAAGCACATTTTCAACACTCCCCCTCAAGCTGAGTAGAGATATCTATCATGCCCAGCTTGCTCAAGTTTCTATCAAGTTTTGGCTTGTTGAAACCCTTAGTGAGGCAATCAGCAAGTAGAATCTTTGACCTAACAAAAGGCACACATATTTCTCCATTAGCTATCTTTTCTCTAATGAAATGCTTGTCAACTTCAACATGCTTTGTGCAGTCATGTTGAACAGGGTTATGAGCAATGTTTATGGCAGCTTGATTATCACAATGTAGCATCATTGGGGTTTCAACTTGGATCCCAATCTCTGATAACAAAGACTTCAACCATAGCAACTCCGATACACCATAAAGTCATAGCTCTATATTCAGCTTCAGCACTAGATCGAGCAACAACAGATTGCTTTTTGCTTTTTCAAGACACAACATTACCTCTTACCAAGGTGCAGTAACTAGAAGTGGATCTTCCATCATCTATAGAACCTACCCAATCAGCATCAATATAAGCCTCGACCTTGAGATGTCCTTGGTTAGAGTATAACATTCCTTTATTTGGACACCCCTTTAGGTAGGCAAGAATCCTGTTGACAACTTGCATATGTGAAGTTCTAGGACTGTTCATATACTGACTCACCATGCTAACAGCATAGGGTATATCAGGTCGAGTCAGGCACAGGTAAAGAAGCCGACCAACAAGCCTCTAGTAGACACCCTTGTCTAGAAGAATATCTCCATCATCAACACTCAGTTTATGATTAGAGTCAATAGGAGTTTCAACTGGCTTACACCCCAGTTTCCCAACCTCATGAAGGAGATCAAGGACATACTTCCTCTATGAAATGAATATCCCTCCCTTTGACCTTACCACTTCAATTCCAAGAAAGTATCTGAGATTCCCAAGATCTTTGATTTCAAATTCAATAGGCTGTAGCAAAGCCACACTGGAAAAATGCCATGGATTCTAAGATCCAAGCCCTTCTTGAAAATGACACATAGGACTTGGTCAAAGCTCTACCTGAGACATCTCTCATAGGAAGTCGATGGGTCTACTCTGTGAAACTAAAATCTGATGGAAGCCTACAGATACAAAGCTAGGTTGGTTACACAAGGCTACAAATAGGAATATGGGATAGACTATGAGGAGACCTTTACTCCTGTAGCTAAGATGACCACTATATGACTTCTATGGCTGTATTTGCAGCCAAACAGTGGACAATCCATCAAATGGATGTCAAGAATTCTTTTCTCCATGGGGAGTTGAAAGAGACAGTCATAGTTGTCAAGGCGCCTAGGCGACCACAGAGCACTCAGTTGCCTAGGAGATGGAATTGAAAGTATAAAATAAATATCCCTACCCCTCTTAAGCTACTTTATTAGTTTTTTATACTAACCAACGTGCCTATATGCTAGCTATTATTAATAAAATCATTCGAATAAAACATAAAATGCCATAGCTAGCATCCAGGCCAACAAAAATGGGGGATTGCAGATAAGAAAAGAGTGAAAAATAAGGGGGCGGAGCCCCTGTTTCGTTCCCAACATAAGTTGTCCAAGAGGACGATGTGGACTGTGTTTAATGGGGTGGAGACCCTGTTTCAGGCTAAAAAAATGGAAAAGGAGGATTGTTAAAAGTAAGAAAGGAGTATCAGTGTGATTTTAGGAAAGAGGAGGAGGAGGCAGAGCCCTTGTTTCATCCCAAAAATATTTCAAGAAGGAAAAAACGTACCTAGAGGTCTTGGACTGGTTGGACTGAATAATGGAAACTTCTCAGTCATTGCTTTCTCTTCTCAACTCTCGATTCAAAACTCAAAGTCTCAAACCCAAGGAAACTTTCATAGTTTTAATGTAAAAGAGAATTACTTTAATAAAAAATGATAACATACAACAGGGTGTATTCTAATAAGATAAAACAAACCAATAAAATGATAATACATATGCACATTCAAAAAAATAATATAACATATATATGGGTGAGCACCTAATACAAAAACATCTAGCGTTGGGTGAGGCGACTTCTAAAAATCGCCTAGTCGCCTAGGCGTAGCCTTGATAACTATGGAGATAGTCTTTATGAAGCCCCCTCATGGATATTGTACAGACCTGCAGCTTGTTTGTAGTCTGAAGAAGTCACTTTATGGCCTGAAGAAAGCTCCTAGGGCCTGGTTTAAGAAATTCAGATCTGTCGTCACTAATGTTGGCTTTATCCAGAGTTTTTCTTATTATTCTTTATTCATCTTAAGGCGGAAGCAGGGAGTAACAATATTACTCCTCTATGTTGATGATATTCTCATTACAGGGGATGATACAAAAGGAATTGTTAGGCTACAACAGTTACTCAGTGAGTCCTTTAAGATGAAGGACTTGGGGCCTTTGACATATTTCTCGGGACTTGAAGTGAGCAAGAACTTTCGGGGCTACTTTGTTAACCAACAAAAGTATGCGGACGATCTTGTTAAAGTGGCAAATCTTAGTGACTCTAAGATTGTGGATACCCCACTAGAACTAAATTTAAAAGTCAGCAAAGATGATGGTTCTCTTCTTGAAGATCCTACCCTTTATCGTCAACTAGTGGGCAATTTGATATATCTCACCATGACTCGGCCAGATATATCTTATGCAATTCAAATAGTGAGCTAGTTTGTGTCTTCCCCAAGACAACCTCATTTATCTACAGTTCATCGGATCATTAGATATGTGCAAAGCACCCTATCACACGGGATATTCTTTTCTTCCTCATCCTCTATTAACCTTATGGCTTATGCTGATGTTGATTGGGCTGGATGCCCTAACACCCGACGGTCCAATACTAGCTGGTGTGTATTCTTAGGCAACTCTCTTATCCCGTGGAAGTACAAGAAACAAGCTATTATGTCCAAATCTTCCATTGAAGCTGAATACAGGGCTATGTCTTCCGTGAGTAGTGAGATCATATGGCTTCGGGCTCTTCTATTTGAAATACTTCATGAACCACCACCATTTGTTCCTCTCTATGCAGACAATGTCAGTGCAATTAAAATTGCTACCAACCTCGTCTTTTATGAGTGCACCAAACACATAGAAGTTGATTGCCACTTCATCCACGACCTCCTTCTTGAGGGTACCATATCTCTTCCTCATGTCTCCTCCAAGCTCCAACTAGCAGACTTGTTGACTAAAGCAATGACTCGGGCTTGACATCTATTTCTCATGGACAAACTGATGCTTATTCCTAGGCATTAGTTTGAGGGGGAGTGTAGAGACTGTGAGAAGATCTAGCCATAGGGCTATTCTTGTACATTTACTTTTCTTTGTTGTATAACTATTCTTTGTACTCTCTTTCTTTTGTACACTAAGGGAAGATTTGTCCTTTTACCTTTTTAATATAAATATATCTTTTAGGGTGCCGACTAACAGATTGTGTCACACCCACCAAATCTATTGTCTCTTTCTGAACCTTTGGCTTGACTATGACATAGTAATCCATTTGTTCGTATAGGTAGCCCAAGAACATCAAAGTTAATGGAAGTTGGTGCCCGCCTGCTGCAAGAATGACTAGGGATGCCAATACCATCCAGAGGCCATAATCAGGGCTGTCGGGGAATAGGAATCGTGATGCGATGTAGAGAATGAATGTGGCCAAGTGACATTCGTTGTCCGCCACTCTGCCTTCCTAACAATAACATCCGTCACACTCCTGCACTCAAACCAATGCTTAATCCACCCATCTAGAGGCATCTTACCACAAGTTGATGTAGTGTCCACCTTGGCCTTGAACCGACTCACTTCATTCACCAACTCCGCATAGATACTCAAAAGCTCACTAGGGATGGACTCTGCGTACTATAAGTGATGAGCCGAGACAGATCCAACCAAAGGAAGAGCCAATAATGCAAAAACATCCTCCACGATAATCTTGAACTCACTGAAGGCACCAACAAAGATATTAGTTTGGCAACACCAATGCGCCAAGAGCGGCACCATAAAATCCACACCGTCTCTACCAAGCAAATGCATGAAGCAATAAACTAACCTTAGAAGGCCGGCATTGTGCAAAATCCTACAGTACATGGGGTTCTCCAAAACATACAACACCCAGGATGTGAAACTGGTGGAGCCTTTCGAGCTTTCAGTCTTTGGTTCAAGACACCTGTACACTACACTCTGTTTTTGTCAACCATACAAGCAAAGAAGCTCGTTGCCTTCCACAGTGTCGTAGGTGTCGTCTTTGCCCAACGATATAGGCATAGGGGGCCAGAAACCCTTGCCAAGATCCAACGCCTTGGTTGTCTCATAATCAGAAAGCAACTCGACCGTATCAACTTCCCGCACGAAATTCACGAACGGGCAAATGTCTCACACCACTTTCTTTTGCTTCCGACAGGCCATTTGAATCGAAGCAAAAATAAACCCTAAAAGACACTCTAATAAAGAATAACCAATAGGAGGAACAAGATCACAAATAGCACTAAGTAACAAAGGGAGCTCTTCGACAATTGAAGGAAAAAGCTAGAGTAGAGGAAACTTAGAAAGGAAGAAAAACCCCCCCTCGCATGTCCTTTTAAGCAGAATACCTCACGTGCCAAGGACTAGGGTCGCGCCACACGAAGGTTGAAATGACCAGTCGTGCTTTCTCCTCCAATCGAGTAGAAGTCTAAAAATGACCAGTCTGCCACGCCCCCAATATCATTTGGGTGATTAACAGCAACCCCATGCACGACCCAACATGCCAATGAGCACATCGGCATTCACCCATGGTGATTCAAATGGTCGATGACTTGCTCAATTCATAGGGGGGCTGCACACTTCGTCTACCAAGTTCCACTAGCCTCCTAATAGAACTCCTCCTATAGAAGTACAGGGGGGGCTGCAAGAAATTGCAAGCCACAAGTCCCAAATGGAATGTTTCTTGACAAAAAACATTCTATCAAGACACGTGGGGCTGAAAATTAGACGACCTGCAGCATGCACTGCACATGTTTCTTGACACAATGCCTTCCATCAAGAAACAAGGGGGCTAAATTAGAGGAAATGTCAAAACATATTGCCCTCGCTTGATGCACTATCAAGCAAAGATCCTGCTAATCAAATCTCTTGGCCAGAGCTATCGCCCATAATTCTTTATCATCCGAGCTTTGTTAGGCAATTCAGCCCTCACCATCATTAGAATCCAAAAAAGTGTAGCACGACAAATCCCATAACTTAATACTTTTATTCGACCAACTAAAATAAGCAAAGACCCATTCTAACCCTCTTCACCAGTCGACGAATCATAGAGTGAATCCACGATCTGACAAATTACTTCAATCCATGCTCTCATCGTCACATATCTCACGAAACATTCACAAAGCCCTATCATTACCATCATCATCGCGCACATAGCCTAAATAATAATCTAGAAAATAATATAAATCAATGTGGCAACAACAACAAAGCGACACCTGATTCTAATGAACAAACGTCAACCATTTCCCTAGCCTCAATAAAATGCAAAAAATCAATAGATCCTTTTCTTCCTATCACGACCGTGAAGTCATAATCTATGATAAACCAAATCCCCCATCCCCAAACACCTAATTACAAATATACATATCCATGTGAGCAAAGAACGAACTACAAAGGATGCTTATTGACAAGAGTGCTCTTATCAATGAGCAGGGGGGCTAATTGTAAGTACATGAAGCTCATCATTACTAGAATTACAATGGAGACCTTAAACATAGACTACATAGAGAAACCCCTAGCCGGAAAAGACAGAGTGACAAGGCGATGAGAGATATCTGAGGTACTAGATCAGCCAAAACACCTCTGTAATGGCTCAATGACACTTTACCAAAGTGATATAAGGTTCACACACCTGCGATGGGCATGAAATGCCTCTTAGGACCTGCAATGAGCACGGAGACCATCCAAGACTTGCAATGGGCATGAAATGACTTCTGGGACCTGCAATGAGCGCAGAGTGCTATCCGAGACCTGCGACGGGTAAAATGATACCGCAAGTTTGTGGGTGACTTGTGTTTCTTCCAGTGCCTTGTAATGAGCATAAAATGACAAGCCCATATCGTAACAAACGGTAGATGAAGCCTAAGACCAACAATGCCTGTTTATGGGTGACTTGTGTTTCTTCCGGTCACAGCAAACTATGACGAGGCACCTCGAGGGTGATCAATGACACGTGGCCGCAAGAGAACCCATAAAGGGATGTAGCCAACACCTGTCATGCGAGAATCCTCAGGAGAAAGGAAACTTTATTCCTAGAGGATCTCGTTGGACACATGGTGAAACTCCAATGGTGCTCCCTTGATAGCTGACATAAGGACAAAGATTCCATTTCCTAAAAGGAAAGGTCTTCTTTGGGGATGTTCTCCTTATAGCCTTAGGATCCTCTCTATAAAAAGAAGAGACAAACCGCAAGGAACAGAATTCTGAGAATTCATCAACCGAAATCCCTTGACCTCTTCCCCAAAAGACTAAGCCTACCTGCAATCTTAACCCAAGACCAATCCCATTTTCGTCTTTCAAGGAGACCATTCCACATCACCTCACCACCACACTTACAACTGGAAAGTGTGATAATGCGGGTTCAGATCTGAGAGCAGCCACTATGTGCAAAAATGCCAAAGCTTAGGAACATATCCAGTCTACCAACTCTACCCCTTCCAAGACCCAAATAGCTGGGACCAACATTAGGTTATGGCCTTTTTTACAAGTGCAACCTTTATTACTTATTATATCATCTGGTCAGTCAAATGGCATTTGCTTTAATTTGTCCAAAAAATGAAAGAGTAATTATGGCCATTGCTATCAGCTGCAATACATTTAACATTTTAGAATGTGTAATATCCAAAAGCTAAAAAAAAAACATACAATCTCCAATATAAATATGGTAAAGTTGATTTCACCAATTACCAAAAGGTTGCAAGAGTTGCTGAGATATGGTAGCAACAGGGGCGCCCCAAAACCAGAAAACCAGAAAAAGATATGCCAGTGCCTATTGTCATCAAGAAGAGAAAAAACAGTTTAAAACCAAACTGCAATGTGATACAGAATTATTAAATGCACTCAGAAATACCTTTACAATCATCAGAGCTTTTACATGTGTATCATATGACAATTTCTTGCTCTGATTCTTCGTTGACTGATCTGGAAATTAGGTTAAGCTATCAGAAAGAAGCTCATACTGCAAGGAAATAAATATATTTTTGTTTTTTTTTTTTTTTGGGGGGGGGGGGAATGCTACCATAATAAACTAAAAAAAAAAATTAGGCATGCTAACTATGGCAGATTCAATAAAAATATAATTGTCTAGAGAAAGCAACAAAATCGAGCCCTGAAAAATAAGACCTGGAATTATGAAATAATTGAAAATTTGGACATGGTTTGCAATAAAAAAAGTTAAATATTTATGTTTTATTCAGAATTCCTTTGTATTATATTCTTTGGAAACCAATTGCTCATCAGGAACCCAACACTCTGCAAAAGGCAACTTGAAGATATTTAAAGAAGCTTTTTGTTATTTGTACTTCTAAAAGTAGATAAGCAATTTCTCGCTGATATATGAAAAATAAGAAGCTTCATTTTTCTGGGAGTTGATTTTCTGCTTGCAAACATGATAATGTTGTGATTCCTAAAGAGTTTTTCTGCTTTAAATCAAGTTTCTGTTGTGTAACAATACATTCCCTTTGCACTCTTCTGATACAAAAAATTGTAACTTCAGATATGACAAAGGAAAACAGAAAGGATGCGGAATTTACATTTAACAATTGAACTATCCAGAATGGGTATGAAATCCATTCAGAAGTTTCTCACAAAGGTAGACAAAAACTAAAATAATTATGATTCTAATAGCTAATCCAAATCCATCCTAAAGAGCAATCAATAGTATGTTCTAATTTGTCTTACAAAATGACCAATAGTATATACTGTGAACTCCATAGTCTTCCCTTGTTGGTTTGTAGCAAATTCTCAAATGTTGGTAGCATAGTTATCAAGCAGCAAGGCAATACAAGATGATAGGTTACTGCCTTGTCACTTAAGCACTGAAGTAAGCACCTAGGTGCCAGTAGCTTTTTGATAAATAAGGCATAATTTATTGGTTAAGGTCCATTTTGACTTTTTTTGGTAATAAACAAAAAACAAAAATTTTATTAAGAAGAAGAAAGGATACAACAGAGGTGATAAGGAGAAGGGGAAGTTGCTACAAGGGAATTGAAAAAGATTTACAGGAGAACAGCCCTAGAGGATTAGGAACCCACACCCTAGTATTCATACCACCATCCCCCAGAACTAAATTCAGAATACTTAGCAAATCAGACACCAGGTATTTCAGACTCTAAGATTCCTACTGAAGACCAAGTTCCAATTCAGACCTAAAGGAGATGAGTATTGGCAAATGAACTCAGACACAGGTCTACCCTTGAGATTACAAGGAGTAAAAAGGGAAGGAACACATAGAGGGGACTCCCCAACCCAAACATCTTCCCAAAACCTACTTTTCTGACCTGAAGCCAAATCCTACATAACATGGTTGAGGAAGACAGGAAGGATATCATGGATATATTTCCAAGGAGAAGCTGGAGTAGCTCTATACAGACAAACAGCATCCCATCCATTGTTTGACAGCCCATGGATACTTGCTACAACTTCGTGACAATTTTTCATTTTCTTTAGGGAACCTCTAATGTCATTTACTCAACAATGCCAGATTTTTCATTCTAATGTTTCCAATTCCCAGCCCCCTTCTACCTTCAATTTCACTACCTTTTCCCATCTTACCAAGTGCTCTTTCTTCCCTTCCCTCCATTCCCAAAGAAAGTATCTCATGATCTTTCGATTTTTCTCACCATTGGGAGGTTGGCCAATGTGGATTTGATTAAGGTTATTCTCCCACCCAACAAAATATAATTCCTTTTCTACCCTGCTAGTCTCTTCTCAAACCTTTCCACCACTGGGGTCCAAAAACTAGTTGATCTAGGGTTGTCACCTAGGGGTAACCCTAAGTCAAAGACCAATCCCCTCTCTCACATCCTAAAGATTTTGCCATAGTCCTCAACTCACCCCCTTCTACGTTGATGCCAGCCATTAAACTTTTAGTCCAGTTAATCGGTTAATCCTCAAGTTGGACATCCTCTCAAAGAGCTTTACTACCAATTTCAAGTTTTCCACCCCATCTCTGCAATCCCCATGACAAAAGACTAAAATATTATCTGCAAATTGCAAATGAGTAATCAAGATTCTGTTTCTACCTGTTGACCAACCCTTGAACAGTTGCAGGCAGTTAGCTCTTGATATTAGTGAGAATCTCGACTACCAAAGTAGAAGGAAAGGGAGAGAGTGGATCACCTTGTCTTAAGCCTCAAATTCCCACAAAGAAGTCAACCACCAAAACATTTACAATTACTAAATAAGGACTTGTTTGCAAGCAGCCTCTAATCCATTTACACCATAGCTCCCCAAAGCCACAACTTTTCATGATATTAATTAGGAACATCCAGTCCACTAGATGGACTCCTATGACTCCTAGACCCAATGGAACCTTCACTTATGCTTCTTTCTTCAAGTCCATCTCTCAACTTTCTACTCACCAACCCTTTCCATCAAAAGAAATTTGGTGCAGGCCAATTCCCCCAAAAATTATGGCRTTTTGTTGGGAAGTATTCCATGGGAAAGTAAACACTCTAGGTAACTAATGAGAACGAAAAATATCATATTTTTCTCCCTTAATAATTAGCCTTTTATGTTTATTTTATGCCCAAATGCACTCATAATTCTTATATTTTCGTTTAAGGCACGAAAGGAGGCGTTAGGTGAGAAACAAGGCTAATCGAGTCATTTTACACAGTTTCGGCACCATGTGGTAGATGAAGCATAACTCTCTCATCCGGACTCCGATTGAGATGAGTCAAGATGCGTTGGAAAGATAAGGAAAAGTTCTACAACTAACCTGTTTTGAGTTTTGATAGATTCGGACTGCATCGATATCAAAATCGAGCCCGAATTATCTACAACTGCACTGGTGACGTGTTGAAGACATTCCTTAGCCTTAAAGCTTTCATCCGTGATTTCATCACTCTCCCACTCACACAAGAACATTGTCTTATCTTATTTTTTAGTCTTTCCTGGATAATCTAGACTTGTAGATTGACCTAGAGGAATTTTTGGAGATTTTGTAGTCTTCTCTTGGGGGAAGTAGATAAGAGGAGAAAACCCTAGAGGGAAGGCAAAGCAGATTGGGAGTAGCCAAACCTCTCTTCTCTTCTCTTCTCTTCTCTTCTCTTCTCTTCTCTTCGCCCCTTTTCTTCATTCTCTGATTTTCTTGGAGTTTTCACTATGACCATGAGTGGCTAAAACTCTTGTACTTGGTCAAAGGAAGCAAAAGCCTCAGAATCCACCAAACTGTGAGATCTAATTTGGTTTTTTATTGTTCAATTCATGCTTTGGATATCGAATGTTCTTCTATGTTTATATCTATGATTGTTTTGTTTGATTGCTAGGAAAGCCTACTAGTTTATTATTCGTTACAATCTATTGCTAGATTAGATATCAAATCTATAATTGTTTGATCCCTCTAATCTGCGAAGCAACTAGGGTTTAATGATTAGCTGCGTCAGAAATTGTTATATCCTAGGAAGAACAGTCGACTAAATTAAATGCAACCGCTTGTGCTTGTGTTGTTTAGCTTCATCGATCTCTAATGTTTAATACTATTGCTGGATTAAATCTTTAACGCTTGTTTAGGGGTTGTTCAGTAGTAAGGGTTAAGAGGATCGCGTGTTTTCCGATTAACTGATAGTAGGAAGATGCAGGAAATTAATTCCTACGATGAATATTCAAAGTCTGAATTGATTTATCTTTGCATCAATGAGCAGTA